TCTCTCTCTCTCTCTCTTTCTCTCTCTCTCTCTCTCTCTTTCTCTCTCTCTCTCTCTCTCTCTCTCTCTCAATCTTTTTCACTTTTTATTTCTCGCTTTCTCTGTCTCTCTCTCCTGTTAAGGTTAACTGGTTTGGTTTGTGCACTGCAGTGCCCTCTGTTGGTGGTAGCGGCACACTCCCACAACTGACCCCGTACTTTTGTGGCGGTTTAACCCTACACTAGCGCCCTCTGATGGGACGTTGGGCTACTGAATGTCGTAGCAACCTCGCGCTTCTCGCTAACCCTTACACGCTAGCGCCACCTAGGGTTTTTGACCATGATTAACAAAATGTGTGCCGGTAGATGGCGCCACGTGGTTGTGCTACTGATACCGTCGTGAGGTTGCGTGAAGTGGCGCCCTCTTGCGACAGACTCACATTAATGGTCGCTGGTACTTCACTATCGTTAACCATTACGGGTGGCTCCGTCTGGTGGTCGCTCTTGGGATTGCAGTCTTTCTCGCTTTGGTGCGTTGCTGTGTGTTCTTCTGTTGCCTGCTGCGTCGCTCTCTCTATCCGCCAGCCCTCGTGGGAGTTTTCGTTGTGGAAGAAAGTTCGATTTTCTGCCACCAGGGGTTGTGGGATTCGATAGTGATTTTCAGCCACGTTGCTCACTGTGTAGACATGGTGTTCGTCCTTCTTCCTCTTCCTCCTTTCTTTTCCTTCTCATCTCGCTTTCTCTCTCCCTTCCACTACTTCTTCTCATTTCCCCTCTACGTCCTTTTCTTGCTCCCCTTCCCCCTCCCCCTCTTTCTCTCCTCCTCCCCATCGTCTCTACCCTCCTCCTTCCGATTCTCCTCTTCCTCCTCTATCCCCTCCACTTCTTCTTCTCTTGACTTCCGCTCGACTGCGCAAATGTATGCAGCTCTGCGAAGCTTCTGCTACTAATTACCCTAATGAATGCTGCGCATAATTAAAAAGCTGTCGCCTCCACCGCCGCCGCGCATCGTTGATTAATCAGCTCATCTCCTCCTCATCCCGGCATCGTCGTCGTCGCCAGCGGCAACGGAGGGGAAGCCATCAAGGCTAGCATCCTTATCTCAGACTCCGGGAAGCCAGGGACGCCGCAGTCTCCCGCGCAGCGTCCTCGAATCGCGACTCCGGCCGGGAATTCCGCGAATTCCACCGCAAATCCCTGACGTCGGGGATGAAGCTGTCCCCGCATCCGTGCGCGCAGCATCCCGCGACGATTTATCCTTCCCAGAAAGGTTTCTCCTTCTAGTGTCTCTAGTGTAGTTTCTCTCTCGAGGTGACCCACGGAAGAAGAGAGAGACAGATGTAGAGAAGGTCGCAATGAGCTCTTGTTCCTAGAGAGTTTTTTTCGTTTTAGACGACACGAGAGAGATCGCGTGGCGTGCTCGCCGCGACGCCAGATTCTGTTCGTTAGTTTTGAAATTTAGTCGTCATCGTCGTCGTCGTCGTTATTGTCGTCGTCGTCATCATCAGCATTGTTGCCTTTTTTTGGTGATACTGATCGTCATCATGATGTCATCGTCATTGTCAATGTTGTTGTTGATAATGATGATGATGATGGCGATGATGATGATGGTGATGATGATGATGATGATGTCATTGTAATAGCATGAGACAAGATGTAGATGTAGAATGTAATTGTTTAGAAATGTTTGTCTAGTCGGTGTCAACGTCAAACGCGTTTGTTGTTGTTGTTGTTGATGTTCTATTGTTTCAGCGCTGCGCACGTCTTGTGCCTGCGTTCATTTCTTGCGAGCATTCTTTGTTGCTACGTGCGTGCGTGCGCGTACGTGCGTGCATGTGTGCGTACGTGCGTGCGTGTCCATGCATATACATACGTGTACATGTATGCGTGCATATACATGCGTTCGTCTACATGCGCGCGTGTACATACATGTACATGCATGCGTGCGTACATGCGCGCGTATACATACATGTACATGCATGCGTGCGTACATGCGCGCGTGTACATACATGTACATGCATGCGTGCGTACATGCGCGCGTGTACATGCATGTACATGCATGCGTGCGTACATGCGCGCATATACATACATGTACATGCATGCGTGCATACATGCGCGCGTGTACATGCATGTACATGCATGCGTGCGTACATGCGCGCATATACATACATGTACATGCATGCGTGCGTACATGCGCGCGTGTACATGCATGTACATGCATGCGTGCGTACATGCACGCATGTACATACATGTACATGCATGCGTGCGTACATGCGCGCGTGTACATGCATGTACATGCATGCGTGCGTACATGCACGCATGTACATA